AGAATTAATCAGTCGATACTGGAAGAGTTAGGTGTAACCACCAGACTATCATCATTACGCATGAAGAGGGTATTGCAGTATTTTGACAAAGAAATGACAATATGGCTTATAGTGATGGGAGAAGTACAGGGAAAGAGAAGTAGAAGTCGATCGCCTATGAGATGGTCTGATCAAATCAAACAAGTCACAGTCCGACGCCTTCAAGTATCGTTTCACCAGGCTGAAGATCGAGAAATGTGGAAGAAGACCATAGAAAGGGGAATAGAGGCAAACCAGCAGAGAGAGAGAGAGAGAGAGAGAGAGAGAGAACTTGGGCCCTCATAGCCAACAATAGACAACTATGGGTCCAACTACAAAGAGTGTATCTAAATATGTGAGAGAGGCTACACCATAATTGGAAATGGTTGAATAAGCTGAAACTGATGATAATGATGACGATCTGCATATTATTTTTCACATATTCTTTCAGCTCATTCGATAATCGCAAATCCAACGCGCGGAAAACGCCTCTCGCGCCCTTTCCGGTCCATTTTCCCGATTTTTCCCGAATTTACCCAGCCGAAGGGCTATACGCAAGAACGATGGCAGCGTACGGGGGCAGAGCGGAGGCAAGCGAAAATCGGTTGCTCGCCGCGGATTATTTTTATACGGCCCGAATATTATTCATTCGATTTCGAATTGATTTCCCCCGAAATCGGCTTTGAAAGTCGGTAACGCGGCGTCCTTTTTTATCGACTTAATCCACTTTTATGGCGGCGTATATTTTTCCCACTGTCAAAATCGTTCGCCGAACGAAGGCAAACAAATGAAATTGGAGGGCCATAATTTAACTGTCGGTGCTGCGCGGATCGATCCGATGCTTTTTTCGGTGAAAAATTTGTTTTTCGCTAGGAAAAACTAGTCGCCGCGTAAACGAATGGAATCGTCGATTATCCAGTTTTATGGCTATTCGTTTTTCCAAGCCGTTTTTTTTTCATTAAAAATCGACTTAAAAAAACCTGTGATGATTTCATTTTAATAAGTTTCTAAACTAAGTAAGGTTTTGAATAAAAAAATAGAATTATAAACTTACAAGAAGCAAGAAACAAAGACAAAACTGTTTGTTTTGAACATAGTAGACAAAAATGATAATAAAATTATAAAATAAAGTATCTTCTTTGGACTGGCACTGACTTTAATTTTGAAATTTTGCACTACCGGGTGCGTCTCAAAAGTGGCTCACCCCAATAACTTTTTTATTTTTTCAGATAAAAAACGAGATTTGGTATGTATACAAGGTATATAACATAAATTGGGATTGATTGACGTATTCAATTGTTTTTGGTCACTTTCTGTTTCACCGGAAATTACTACAACTTTTGATTTTTAAATGGTACCCTCGGTATGTTTTTACTTTATTCGATAGAAAATGATATTCTGAATAGAATGACATATCATATGTCAACTTTTGACATTCTCACTTGATAAAAAATAGTATTTTAAATTTCAAGCTAGAGTGCCATGGCTATGTTAAAAACACTAACTCTTAATCAAGGAGCCTTGGAAAAATAGATTTGATCGTCTAATGTTTTAGTGTCTCGTCCTAGACGGTTAAAAGATGCCCAATTTGATACCACGCACTTGGTATTTTGAGTCAAATTTTTATTACTAACCGCAAGTTATAATTTCAAATAAACCATATACGAAAATGTCAAAAGTTGACATATGATATGTCATTCTGAAAACAAGGTATGATCGATAGTGGCTCCAATTTCGTTCAGTTTACGCATCACCTGTGACGCCATTCAAAAAAATATCCATCTTGTTCAACTGCCACTAATAAAAAAGATCTAAAATAGGGCAGAATTAGGACATAACCTCAAAAGTTATGTAAAATTATTGAGCTTGACATTTGAAAAGTAATTTTCATATTTATTATTTGTCTTCAGTTTTACGATATGAAATTGGCGCGCGGAGCTTGCCGACCAATGGTACAGTTACAAACCTAACCAAACCAAATCACCTGTGACGTAGTGACCAACCTGTGCAATATCATATTTTGTTTTCTTTGTCTCATGATGTAAATACTATTTGGCGCTATTCTTGCAACGGTCGCGACCCAAAGCTTTTGATAATTTCGGCGGTTCGGGCAGTTCGGACAGTTCGGACAGTTCCGGAATTATGTCGCCAAATATTATTTATTCAAATTTATTACTTATTTTCTTTTAATTTTATAAATAAAATACCAATGTGTTGCATATAAGAAACCTTATTTTATATAAGGACATGTATGAAATACCTATGAAACATTGGAAACCGACGTTATGCCACGATCCACGATGGTTCCTGCAGTTCACAGTTCACAGAGCTTTTTAAGCTTTTTATTCCACTTTTTCACAATTATCACGGGTTTGAGTAAATAAAATTTAAATTAAACTCACAAGTAAGGTCCGACCGAGATCTCGGTCTCGGTCTCGTTACAGTCATTCTCGGATAAAAATCAGGCCGAGATCTCGCTCTCGTTCTCGGCATAAAAGGGCCGAGATTATAAACTAACTATAATCTAGACAGCTTACGATCGTCAAGTTAGCTTATTTTTGAGCGTATCGCTTCACCTATCGATGCGTGGATTAATAAAATACTCGTCCGAAGTCGAAAAAAAAAGAATGGATTATATCTGATCCATATTAAGGGGGTTTCCCGGACGGTTGAGGAATCTTCGTTTTCTATGCGTAAACAATGAACGAAATGTTAGATGTTAGTGTCTTATTCTATATCCTATCTCCTATAGAAAAAGATGTTTCCCTTTATTTGGCCCACCCTGTACATATTTGGTTAATATAATCTGAAAAAGCTGTCATCCATATATTAGCATTCTTTTCCAGAGCTTACATTTACAGCAACAAAGTTTTTCAGCCATATAACAAAAATACTGTCGTGTTTTCCTAAATTAGAGCCTTTTACGGACTTAATACGTCCAACGAAAAAAGCTCCCTCTCTATTAGACTTGGTCACGTATCGCGACACAGTAAAAAGAAGAGGCGTAACAACCTAAAAGAGAAAACTAGTAAGCAGAATCGGACCGTTCCTGAAAATGCACTACGTGTCCTGGCGCTAGAATGCCAACAGGAACTGCCCCCTTTGCACCTCTCGATTCTATTTTTCAACGCGATGGATGTATCGTAAGGATAAAGTCGCTCATCGAAGGATAATCTTTCGAATTTCAGTCAGTTTTCTAGGAACGTTTCTGGTGATGGGTGTATTGTATTAGATTTTCTAGGATGTTAAAAGACCATAAGGATTTGCTCAATTTTCACGGAATTAAATGACATAAAAAAGGAATGTTTTAGGCTAGAAGAACGATGCTTAGTCAAAGACCAAAATTTGCATTAATGGATTCATGAATTCATCTAGAAGCTGTGGTAATAATTTTTTAAGTAACCACAGAACGAAAATTACTAAACTTTTATGATTATCGAACTTTTGTTGTTCCGAAAATAATTGTTTATGCTGACTGGTTTCGCGCAGCAAATGTATGCGCAGTTTTTCTTACACGCGTCTGCATTTTTGACACCAATCAATGGCTGATTTTACATGGGTCTAGCTTTTCTAGGCGTTCTCTGATCAATTCAAAGTTGGTCAAAAGATGCTTTGAGAAGCTGAACAAATTATATAGATAAATGGTAATGAAAAGGCAAATGACCTAGCTAGAAAAGGAGCGAACACTCCACTAACTGCACCAGAACCATTCTGCTTCCCAACTGAAAACCAACTCAAATCAGAACTCAAGAACCTGTCCATAACCGGGAATGGTAATTGTCTAACGGTCTAAGACACTCGAAGAAATTTATTAGGTCTTACGACCGAAAAAAATCAGATTTTCTTGTATTTAAGTAAGAACAATCTTTGTTACGGTGTTTTTAACAGGACACTATATCCTCAATGAACACCTCATTGGATTAAAGCTAAGAAACAACAGCGAACACCAGAACACCCCATCACTGAGTGCGCCGGGACGACAACCATTCGTGCCATTAACTTTGGTACGACGGATATCGAAAATAGAGAACTAACCTCTGTAAAATCGTCCCAGATACTGTCTTTTGTCAAAGCCCTGAGATTGTATGATGAGTTATAATGAAGAAAGGGGAACAGAGTAGAGATCTATAAGATCGCGGTGCTGGGTATCAGAAATCAAATTACGGAAAGTAATGAATTAAGCAAGTTCTTGCCTGCAGAGGGATTTAATGATTTGCAGCAGGAATATATAGGTGACCTGTTTGAATCACGTATTGTGGAACTCACTAAAGAAGAACTCAAAGAATTAGAACATAAGTTTGAAACTCAAGAAAGGAATTAAAGAAATTAAATTTTAAGACTCATTATTTTATTTCAATATAAGAAACCTAACATTCGGGTAAAATGAGGTAGACTTCTGTAGGTTGTTACGCTATTGTGAAAATTATTATTTGTTTAATTTGTTTCTTAATTTAATACCCCTATGCTCTATATCTGAATAACGTATTTATTTACAATATAATACAGGGTGATATTGTGATATATAAGTGCAAATATTTTCAGAGCTGGTAGATCTTGATAAATAAAACAAATTTTCTCTTTGTCGTTTTTCAAATAAGTCTAAAATAACCGAGATATTTTACTTTGAAAATTTCCAAAAACATTGATTTTTTGCTTAAATTTTGAAAATCACTGGATCCTTTTTGGATTTTCTCTCTTGTAAATTTACACTACTACCTTTGTTTTCATTTCCATGTTATGAAGATATTGTTTATTTGTTTTTCATTAAAAATTAAGAAAAAAATATTTTTTTTCTCTAAAAATTCCAAATTTTAACAAATAAATTTCGCGAAAAAATCTCATAGACGTGTTTCGGGGCTCGAAATATATTACCTCTAATAATACTTACACTTTCTTAAGACTTCCAGATTTCATTCATTCCGCCCAGATTTCAATTATTAATAGCTTAATTTTTGTTTCAGGTAAACAAATGCGATATGTTTAAAGTTTGACTGATTGGATGGCTGACATAAGTAAGTTATTTTTGTTATTCTGCGTATTCTGTGTTACTTATTTCAAATATTAAAAAGGATCTTATAAGAATTATCATTAATGTACTAATAAAACAGTACATAATAATTTAATAATTGAATTATTAATGAGTATGACACCTATTAAGAATAATAAAATAGAGCAAAAAGTAAATTTTGTAACTCACCTAAATAAAAAATTAAAATAAATACCATATGATCAAAAAAAACGGCGTCAAAGACGGCTGAGGAATGACAATCGATAATAATTTTGGCGAGGTCAAACCGTAGATATCATTTACTTGGCCCGTACTCTTCTTTATCTTTTAAACGGGTATACTGCCACTTGGTTTTAAGAAGGTTGTAATTTATTTTTATATTGAGTAAAAATTATTTTTAAATTGTGTATTTTAATATTCGAGAAAAATATTTTTTTTGGAAATAGATTTGTGTGTCTGGAAACGTTCTATCCTTTTTTAGTCTTTCTATAATTCGTGTGAATTTTGACAAGTTTATGTCAATTTTTAGTAAATGACGTCTAGAGATTAACCTCGCCAAAATTATCGTCGATTGTCATTCCCCAACCGTCTTTAAAGCCTTTTTTTCAATCATACAGTCTATTCATTACCTAATTTTGCATACTTAAGAGTCCATTTTACTAGTCCGAAAAAGCAGCAAAATAAGCGTTCGGTATTTAACGTTTTATGTAAAACTGGCTAGGTATTTTTACACAAATGAAGAAGGAAATTAAAGATAAAGGATTATACTATATCCGTATTGTAGTACATTTTTAGACAACTTCTTTATTTTTAAGATTTTGATGGACAAACATCAACAAAATATTCTTTATGTTTGGACTAAATTTTCTCGAAAATAAAGACATAATTTAAAATTTCGTTACAATACGGAAAAGTATTGAAGTTTTGTGATTATAGTGATATATAATTTATATCGTTTTGTAACAAATCGCTCGCTATTTTATGGCAAATACTGAAGCTCTGCAAATCTTAATCAAGCCTTAATCAAAGCACGTGTGTTTGGAATTTTGGGTGTGGGGTTCCGGCTAAGCCTTACGCAGATTTCTAAAATATAATATATATTTCCTTCGGTCACACACCCGCTTTACCCGACCCCTGAGAGCGACCTGAACAATACAGTGTAATAGACCCTTAAACTATTATATGACTAACCCAAACTCTAATCAAACCAAACTAAGAGATTACCGTAAAGAAATAACATTAATATTGAGAGGGGGGATTGATTTAATGAAAACGGGTCCACCGACTTAACTAAAATGGGGAGAGAGAAAAAAAAACACAAAAGGAATTGGAAAAAGAACAACCACTAACAAAAGTTCTTAATTAAGGACACGTAGTGCCTTCAACAAACTCAATAATTTTTATCCGTTCTTCCAGCTCATTATTTCTTGCCGTTCGGACGCCCTAATGGAACCTAATCAAACGTTCTTTTATTTAAGTTTCGAACAAAATCAGTTCGTTAGTTTAGAGCTTTCTTTCTCTTTCCGACAAGGTCTGCCAATAACGACGCCAACGGAAACTTACGTAAACTAGGGATTAAAAAAAGGCTAAAGTTTGTAAATAGAATGGACTACCTAGAAAACACCAACTAGTTTTCGAGAAATTTTTCTTACAAAACAACTTAACTGAAAATACTGAAGGTATTGTTTTTTTTGCATATAGGAACATAGTAGGCGCCTGTCTACATATATCAAACGTCAAAATTAAATGTCATCTTTAGTTAAAGCCAAAGTTTTAAACAGTTTCATTTAAAGCTGACAAGTCAGTCGCAAAATGGAATGGACATGCAACATATCCTGAAATTGAAGCATTAGTAGGAATTCGTTCCTATCAAAGAACAGAAAGCAATTAGAGTCAATTGGTGACAAAACACTCAAAAATAAATACAATATTGTCAGTGATGGTTCTGGACTTACTCTTATGAAGCAGAAAAATAAAAGTCAATCTGCTATTTGGGTGTTTAGAGATGAATCAAAACCGACGAAAGTTATCCGTTCTCGAAATGTTTCAAAAAAATTGGTGGCAACACTTGTCTCAAAAGTGGGACATTTAGCAACAATTCCTCCGCAAGATCAAAGAACTGTTACTGCTGATTTATACATATCTATTTGTTTACCGGAAGTAATTCCTGAGTGTCGAAAATCCAACTCTCAACGATAATTGATCCTCCTCCAAGACAATGCAAATACCCACACAGGCCCGAAAAAAATTGAGTTTTTAAAGCAAGAAAACATCGAATTGTTGGACCATCCTCCATACAGTCCCGACCTAAGTCCTAACGAATTTTTTACTTTTCTAAAAATTAAGAGTGAACTGCGTGGTCAAAGGTGCTTGTTAAAAAACGCAATTTTGAAGGTACCTACCCAAGCTAATGGAATATCTTCTTTCACAATTGGTTCCAACGGATGCAAAAATGCATTTTTCTTCGTGGGGAATACTTCTAAAAACAATAGTGTTTAAAAGAATACCTAAAAGAGAATACCTGGTTCAAGTTCGAATACAATAGGAATTTCTCTTTGAATTTTTTTGGACGCCAAAAAATAAATTTTACAAGATACTCATAAAAACTAGAAAAAATACATTTAAAAATGTACTATTAGTGAACTAAAGTGTGTCCAAAGGGGAGATACATGTGAGTAACAGTTGTCTGTCATTTTAACTAACAGTAAAAATTAAATTATGTTTTCGGTAATTTTTGGGATGTCGTATATTAGAATTTTCGCTGACTCGTTAGGCAAGCTTTAATTTGAATGAAAGTATCCATCTTTGTTTTACTTTTATTACTCAATTTATTTTAATCACCAATGATTTTTTACTTACATTCATTTATTAATTTATAGTACTGATATATATAAGAAGATTAGTTTCAATTTTCCTGTTTTGCCCTAAAGCTCGACGCAAGAATATTAACGACAGAAGCTTCTTATTAAAGAAAAATATATAAAACTACTGCTATTAATCCGATAGGCTTATCAGCAGCGAGTGCGAAACGCTCAAGCGAGAAAGAGCGAAACGGATAAAACAGTGGCGGCTGGTGCATAAGCGCTGTAGTGCTTCGAAGCTCCTTTTAATCAAAGAATGCCTAGAGAAACTGAACAAATTAAGCAAAGGAAGTCCTCCTATTCTAGGTGCCAGGGACAGAAGGGATAGAAACTAAAACAGAACTCAAAAATCTGGAAGCCCCCATCCGTAATGAGAATCCTCCAACGGTCTAAGACACTTTGAAATATCTCAGGACTTACGACCGAGAATAATCAAAGATTTTCCTTGATTTAAATAGTTTTTAACAGAACACCGTCCCTCAATGAACACCTCAGTAGATTGAGGCTTAGAAACGACGACGAATGCAGATTCTGTAAGGAAAATGGGGAAACACCAGAACACCACATCACTGAGCTCGCCGAGACGACAACCATTCGTACTTATATAAACTTTAATACGACTTATATCACACACGGCCTTGATTTTTTACTCCCAGGGCGCGTAAGGAAGTTTCACTTCAAAAATAAAATAATTTCTCTCTATATTTATTTACAGATCACGTTAAAAATGTTACCAGGAGCCGCCACTGAGTTATAGAGAACTGCACAAAGAAAAATCTGGAAAATGGCAATCGGATTTAGAGGAGAAACTGCGAAATAAAAGTTTTCTGATTATGCGAAAATTAAAACGGCTTCGGCGAAGGAAAACACGTTTTCCACGACGATATCCTAATCAGGTCTCGAACTTTCTTCCATTTGTTTTATCGGGCGGAACTTTTTTTATTTCGGCAAAAAGCCGTCAGCGTCGGCTGCAAAGTTGTTGTAAACTCGTTTAGGGTTTTGCTCTCTTTTCCTCCTCGGATCGCACCTTTTGTTCACGTGTCGCGTCTACTGTATCACGGCTCTTTTTACTACTTTCTTTTATCTAGTTTTTATTATTCGCATGAACTTTTGTCGAGCAATAGTTTGCTGTTGTAGAGAAAAAAAACGCATTTATGCTGAACGTTCCAAAGTTCTTTCAGCTTCTTATATGTTGTCGAAATATACTTGCTTTGTTTAAATAGTTTTTTTTTCTTGAGCACAATAGAATATTTGGCTAATCTCTCTATGTTTGTTGCGACCGTACTTAGAATGTAGATGAGTGGGAGAGGGGTTAATCACCGCGACCTTACAGATCTATTTTGTCCTCCTTTTCTTGAGTCACAACTCATTGTAGAGTCACAGAGCTTTGACAAAAGCCAGTATCTGGGACGGTTTTACAGAGGGTAGATCTCAATCTGCAATATCAGTCGTAGCAAAGTTTATGGCAAGAATGGTTGTCCTCTCGGCGCACTCAATGATGAGGTGTTCTGGTTTTTCCCAATTTTCACCACAGAATCTGCATTCATCGTTTGTTCTTAGCTTCAATCTACTGAGGCGTTCATGAGGAGACATTTTTATGTTAAATCAAGGAAAATCTTTGAGATCGTACTTAAGAAGCTATGACAGAACTACAGTGCATTTATTACAAGGATTGTCTTTTATATTTTGCATATAGAGGTAGAAAAACAGTAGATAACTTTTAAACACTATTGTTTTTCGAAGTATTCTCCACGAAGAGAATAAAATTTTTGTATCCGTTTCTGAAAGTAGTTATCCAACTCGCTTGTTGGTACCTTCAAAATTGCGTTTTTGAAGGCGCTGACTGCATCTTCTGAGGACTGGAACCTTTGACCACTCAGTTCATTCTTTATTTTTGGAAAGTAAAAAAGTCGTCAGAACTTTGGTCGGGTGTGTATAGAGGATGGACAATTCTATGTTTTCTTGCTTTAAAAACTCAATTGAATCGTGATTTGTTGAATGGGCATCAGTCACCATTCGGCATTTTGAGTTCTTAATTTTTTTTTCAATCCTAGATTGATACTACCGTTTCTTATTAAAAAGTCATCTGTCCTGGCATTCACAAGGTTATTATAGCGCACAAAATATTTGAAGTTTGTTATAA